AGTGCATAGGTCCATACTCAGGGGCAGGACTGAAAGTTAGCGATAGGAGGACATAGGAGAGTTAGCGGATCGGCTGAGGACAGACGTGGAATTCGATAGGGACCCGGTCGGGACATTTCAGTAACTCAGGTAGGTCTAGAAAGGTCCGGTAGTTGTCCAGTAGGTCATGATGGTCCAGTGCCTGAATGAAGACAGATCTAGGTCTAGGTTCAGCACCTGCAAGTCGACTACAGGCTGAGATGATGTTCCCACTGAAAGAAGGAACATCCAGTAGGCTTAGTGCACCCAATGGGGGCTGGGCAGAGGCAGGAAGTGCGCGACCAAGAGGTACTGGAGGCGAGGCAGGAAGAGTACATCGCTCGGTGCAATGAGCAGTCCGGAGATTCACCCGCCAGTCATGCTGCTGCTCCTCCAATAGGGGGAGTTACGCGGAGCTCTTGAAGGATGAAGGAGTAGCTGAGGGCGAGGAAGAAGACCTCCATGGCTATGGAGGAGAACTAGGAGGAGGTAGGAGAAGCCCTAGGCTATGGAGGTAGAGAAGAACTTCAGCCAGGCTATGGAGGAGAGTAGCGGTCGAGGGAGGGGAAAGGAGGTGGGAACCAACCAGGAGACTTACCTTTGGTTATGGTGGATCTTCATCTTCCTGGTTGGCGCTGCATCAAGAAGGCCCCTGCTGCCCTGCTGGGGTACTGGTTGGACATGACTTAATCCGGAGTCTGGCTATGGGAGTCGGGGGGATCGTGCTATTGTAAGGGACGGTGGACCCAGTTTCCAGCCATTTAATAAAGCGATATCATTGTTGAAAAATAAATTTAAGGGAAAATTTGCGAAACGCCCCTGAAATTTCCGTTAATTGGCGATTTGCCCTGGGACGGCCGACTTTTTCTGAATTGCCCCTCTAACAACGACTCAAGTTTCCAGAAAMCCCCCGGCGTCACTTGGGCCTCTAATATGTTCAATATGCCCCTACCGGTACCGCTGCCAACTTTTCAATATGCCCCTACCTGTTGGCCGTTGAGGACCTGCACTAGAATTTGCTATATGCCCCTACCGGTACCATGTATCTTTCCAGTATGCCCCCACGGCCGTTGTTGGCAGTCGCGGCCGGATGTGAACATTTCCACGTTTCAGCGGAAGATTCATTTCGTTATATGCCCCTAGTGGTAGTGTATGTTTCCACGCTTCAGCGGAAGATTCATTTCGTTTTTGCTCATCCTATCGATGGAATGTGTATGTGTGTGTGTGTGTGTGTGTGTGTGTGTGTGTGTGTG